CCACAAGATGACTGTTCCAGAATAAGTTCCTTGGTTCCTGTCCACAAGATGAATGTTCCTGAATTAGTTCCTTGGTTCCTGTATACAAGATGACCTTTCCAGAATAAGTTTCTTGGTTCCAGAGGCTACAGTGTGAGTGACTGCCTTGGGCGGCATCCATGTTCTTCTTGAAGGGGGCATTTAAAATAAGTTAGCGGCGATTCCTCATGTTCAACTAATGTAAGTAGAGTTAGGCCAGATTTAAGTGCTTTCAAGGACTTAATTTAAATTTCAGGTGCTTTCTTGACCATTGATCATGGACTTATTGAATGTGTAGCCAATTTCATTTGAGACCGCATAATTACTGTTTAGGACATTTTTGTTTGTATTGAATGCCAGTATTTTTGGAGACCAGGTAAAAATATTATTTGATGAATGATGGTTATATTATATTTTTTTCTAAGACTCTGATATTGTTTAAATTTATTTTCTGTGTTTTTATTCTTTTTTATATTGTTAATAATTGGTTAAGTTTGAAACCTCTTTATTGTCTTCAATGTCTGCACAACATATTATCTCAGGGAGCTTTTATTGCTTCTACTGCTAAATGTTTAATTTTATATACTTTAAACTTTGCTTTAGCATCATCCTGGTTATGGGCCCAGCCCCTGAGTTATTTTTAGTGCAGACTTTTGAAGTTTAAAGTTAATTTAGGACTTAAGAGATTGGGGGGGGGGGACGGTTTTTGTTGAAATTCAAATATGGCTACTGTTAATGTTATGCATAATATTGCTAAACTTGAGGCATGTAATTACTTTACATGGTCTAAAGATATGAAGTTTGTTTTAAATGAAAAAAATGCATGGCTTTTGGTCAAAGGTATTGAAAAATGTCCTGACTTAAATGATGTTCAGGGTATTACAAAAGAAATTGTTATCAACTATCAAAATAGAAGTCGTTTGGCATTATCTCTAATTTATATGAATGTAAGCCCTGAATATAGAAACTTGATAAGTGAAATTAATGATCCGGTAGTGGTATGGAATACGCTTGCCAAATACTTCCAGCCAGATTATCGATCTAGACATATGTCCTTGTTTTCAGAGTTGTTAAATTGTAAAATTAAGCCAAATGAAAGTATTAGTTTCTTTTCTTCTAGATTAAAACGTGTAACTGAACAGTTAGCTGATATTAATCAGGCTGTAAGAGATGTATACATATGTTTTCAGTTTCTTAGGTTCCTTCCAGATAAATATGATCAAGTAGTTCAGAACGTTTTAAGGTGGCCAGATGAAAAGTTCATATTTAAAAATGTTGAACTTGAAATACTAGCAGAGGAAATGCGTCTTGGTTTAAGAGAGATAGGGGAAATTCCAATAAGACTATAGTCCAAAGTACCAGTACTCACTGTGAACACAAATTTAAGCAGATTAAAGGGCTCAAGTGTTATAAATGTGGCCGTCCAGGTCATATTCAAAAATACTGTAGAATGAAAGGTAATTTTTCCAGATCACTCGCTGCTTCTGTTTCCTCAGCTGTATCTTGTATATAAAACATCTCTTAAGTGTAAGAAATAAAACCAGTTGAGTAAAGGTAAAAATAATTCCCACGCTCAGTCCCATTTTATAGCTCAACTATGTTAACAGTTTGGAGGAAAATGATGATAGTTGGATTTTTGATACTGCTGCATCTCATCATTTTTGTAAAAACGTGAATGTTCGATACTTTTTCTCTTGTGAAAATGAGAATATGCTAGTAGCTATTTTCCATTATGTACTGTTAAAATGAAATTGGGGATACAGTTATTTTGCTTAAAGATGTTTTATACTCACCTGAACTGAGACGAAATTTAATATCTGCACCTAGGTGGATATCAATGGAGCAAGATTTTATGGAAAAATGGGAAATTAAAGTTACTGATGATAAAATGAAACTTGTACAAAGCTAAGTTGTAGGAAATAACTATCAGTGTTCCCAAAATAGTAAAAAAGGGGGGAAATCTGTAAAATTGAGGCATCCACAGTTCAGCATAACAAATAGTGAATTATGGCATGGTCGGTTTGGTCATATAAATCATGGTGCTATTGTCAGGACTAGTAAGAGACATTCAGTTCGAGGTCTTCCTGTATTAAAGCACTCACCTAATTTGTTTTATGAACATTGCCAAATTAATAAGCAAAGACGAATGTCCTATAGACCCTTAGAAGGTATTCAAGTAAAGAGGCCACTGGAAAGGTTTTTTTCTGATGTATGAGGAACTATTAACATTCCAGGTAGAAATAGTGAACGTTATTTCATTTCCTTTATTAACGAATATTCTCGTTATATGGTAGTGTACCCCACTGTAGAGAAAAGTCAGGTATTTGAAATATTTGAAAGGCATATAGCACGTGCTGAAAGATCTTTGAACCTTAAATTGAAATACTTTAGAACTGATAATGGACGAGAATATGATAATGAACAATTCAGATCATATTGTAATAAAAATGGTGTAAAGCACGAATTTACAGACATTTATACTCCGGAACAGAATGGAGTTTGTGAGAGATTTAATCAAACAGCTCTCAACAATGTACGTGCAATCTTACATGATAGTGGAATGAGTTCCGAATTTTGGTCAGACGCAGTAATGTATTTTGCATATTCATTTAATAGAATTTGTCATAAGGGCCAAGATAGAATCCCATTCGAATTGTATGAAAAGTATTTTTTTAAAAATTAAAGTCATATGTAATTAGCATATTTTTGTGTTTGAGTGGTACCTTAATTTATCCTTAAGCACAGCCAATGTGCACTTCATGGCTAGGCTAGAATATTCTTAAAACACATTTGGAAAAGTCAAGGAATTTCATTCTTCTGTTTGAGTGGCAATCCTGATAAGAATGCATCGCAGTTGTTTAACCAGAGAAAGTATTTAATGAAATCTTGTCTTTTTGAGTGCAACTACCATAGGCCACTGAAAATATCAGGACTATTTTAATGGTATATTGCTAAAGCTTATTTCTTTACAAGAAAGGAAATCAAAATTTCATTTCAAAACATTTTTATTTAGCAGCATATAAAAGCTGTAAATCTGTACTCTAGCAATAATAGTCTATATCAGGCATGGCCAAACTTTGACTCTTGAATTGTGGTTCCAGCAGGCTGAAAGTCAGCTAACAGTATCCCCTTCCAGTTCCAAAGCATAGTTGCCATGACTTACCAGCAGATTAAGTTTGAATTTTTGCTGCCTGGGTGAAAAGGAATACCACAGCTCGTGTGACTTGGGTGTAAAGTGAAATGCCCGTGTTTTGTCGCTGATCACAGTTGAGTTCAAGAAGTTGTCCTTTCTATCTGCATCTGGTAAAGAAATTCGTGGGAAGCATCAACTTATTGCCATTTATGGTCTTCTGTCAGCATACGTGTACTCATCTCATGCAAATCTTCTGATATTGCAACTTTTTTGTTAGAATCTTGTGGATGGTGCTTTAGGAAACCTTAGAAACCAGCAGGCAGAGAACATCCAGACTGATCTGCTGATCTTTATGTATGTTTTCCTCAACCGTCACAACTATTTTGTAAGAAATTGATGATCCGTGACTCCTTTCTTTGTCATGAATTTCTGTATGACCAACTCTGTACAGCACTTGCAAATGTTTTTGGCATCCATGCGTAACTGTCGATACATTACCATCAGTTGGTGATGAATTTCAACTGATTGAATGTCATGTTCAAAAAGCAAATTACTGCATAAACTTCACATTTAGCAGCAGTGTTCAATGGGAACTCCATTTTGAATTGCTGCCAAACCAAGGCTGAGCATCCCAGTGAAGGGCATACAAGCTTATTTGGCAGTGTAGAAAGCGTAGGACACAGTGAAACTTTGTCCCCCCAAAATGGGAGACCTTATTTTTTGTGATTGCCCTCAACATTAGTAATGTGCTAATTCTATGTTGTGCCTCATAAATACAGTACTTTATTAATGGCTCTATGACTATGTTTAGTTGTAACTGCTTTGTAAAATAAGACATAAATCTAATGACCCAGCTTGCATTTATTGAAGTAATTAAGTTATTGGAATTAAATTTTATTTCTGTGTGTTAGTCCTAATGTTAGTTATGTAAGAAAAGTAGTATGTTTTATGCAAAAACTATGCTACCTAAGAACCTAATTTTCCTTTTATCAGATTACACTGTCTCTCTCCATTCCATCATAATTTAATGCTATAAAATCTTTAATTCCATTCATTTGATGGATAATGCTGCATATTTTCAGTTCACTGAGTTATCTGTCACATGAATAATGACTCTTTTTTTTTTTTTTTAATTACTCTAAAGTCCATTAAAATTTCTTCCTTTTTTTCAGTTTATTTCTGTTAAAATCAGTTGACAACATCATTAAAACTAGATTAAAAAAATGGAAATCAAAGGACAATGCTTTATTTTTCTATTTGAAGAAAGTATGTTCGGTAGATCGTACAAAAGTCTAAACTTTATGTGTTGCCATGATATACTTCCCTGAATACAGTGCAAGAGGAATAATTATTTATTTATACTTATATTTAATAACTATATTAGCTATAATGTAGAATATCATTAAATATTGCTTGTATATATGTATTTTAAAGTAATAAATTCACATCAGTTTAAAAGCAACAGTTTCAACATAAAAATTGTTTTCTTTTAAAATGCCAAAATCATTTTAATCAAATTTAAAAATCATTTGCAGCTTTGTTTGCAACTTATTTTTTCTGAACATATAGCTTCTGCAGATATTTAGTTTGACCTATTATGGTCTGTGCCTTAGAGATAGGAAATCTTCAGCACCATTTCTCTTGATCTTAAACTGTTAACTCTCTGAACATATATTTTCTTTTAAAATAAAAATTGCTTAGCTTTTAAAATTTATTTATGTAATTTGTTTCTTATACTGAAATCAGCTTTTATTTTATAAATCATGATTATTTAGTTCTGATGAAATTTTTATTGTGTCTTTTTTTTGTCTAACATTAAGTTATGGGTATTTTTACATTTTTGTTACAGTTTCTGCATTATTTATCAACATGACTACCCTCAGCGAAAGCTTATTTCCTCCTAGTAACCGCCGGAAATGTGTCAAAGGACGGACTTCTTATACTGAATCAGCTGAAAGTATAATGTGCAGTGAAAATATAAACATTGATGCTGATGACAGTTATAGTTTAGACCATAATGGTTATGACTGCTTAGACAGTAATGAAATTGAAGATATTGAAGAGGAGCCTGTTACTATTGATTTACAAGCATTCTTATCAGAAAATCCTTTGCTGACTGAACCTGCATCTGATTGTGGTGTTGATTCTAATATCAATTTGTCTGACTGTCACTCACAATTTCGGGTTACTAGTTACCAGCCTGATCTCTCTTCCAGCGTAATTGAAAATGTCCTTACATCTGAACCTGCAGTAACATGTGAAAAAAATGTGCTACCAGAACTTGCAATCAATTCATTGCTTATTACTGAGAAGTCTGCTGGAGAAAATGAGAGCAGTGTTCAGTCGGAAGACACACCTGTTGCAGTTACCGAAGAAAGCATGTCTAGTAAAGAAAATGTTTTTGTAAATGGTAACAAACAGAGTCCGAAAAAATTCGTCAAGTCAAAAACACACATGGGTCTTTCCAATCCATTGAAAAAATATAAAAATTTTGTTAAAATGAAAGATATAAACAAAACAAGTGTTAAAGTATTTGGGAAATATCCGGTTGTTAAGTGTGAAAAATTAGACATTGAAAATTTTATGAAAAAGAACAATATAAAAGTGAGAAACTGGCCTTTACTGCATAATAATATTAATAAAACAAAATTATCTTTAAACAACAGTGGTACTATCACTAAAAAACTTAATCCTAAAAAACCTAATTTAAAAATACCAAAACTTTTCAAGAAACCAATAAGTTTTAACAAATACATTTCTCTTCCTAAAAGTGGGTCTTCAGTTAATAAATGTCATAGTATTTTGGTAGATTCGTTAGATACAGTAGCAAAATCGGATATGGAAAGTGACAATTTTAAACTGCAAGTTTCTCCTGCATCATCCCCAGTGAAAAACCTTATGCATAAGTCTAGCGGAAGCCCATTTTATCAAGGACATAGATTTCCTAATATAATAAAACAGAATCCTGTATGTAGTCAAAAATTAGTTAAAATAATACCTAACGATTCCCAAGGCAATGATTCTGTTGTTCAGCCAAGAAAACTTCCTATAATAACTAGTGTTAATAAAGTAGGAGTTAATCCTAAAACATTTCAGTTTGTTTCGACGAAACATTTAACAGAGATAAGTAAAAATACAGATGTTGTTTCAGATTTGCCTAAACCAGTTGTTGAAACAGTTTCTACTCCAGTGTTAAAAGATTACACAGTAATAGAACCATATGTGGATGATCCAGCTTCTCCTGTGAAACCTAAACCTATTATTACTGTTCCTATTGAAATTATTCCCTCACCAGAACTTCCTAAAAAAGAATCCGTTGCTGAAACTCCACATGTAACCACTGAGTGTGCCAGTACCACTGCAAAGCAAGGAAAAACACCTCGTTCTGTGTTTCTTAATGGAGCTGTTAAACAAATCAGCACACCCGTTAGGCACGATGCAGAACTAAAAGCAGGTAAAATAGATGAAATATCTAAAAATAAAGACATAAGTATTGATAGTAATAAAAATGTTTTAGATCAATGCCCATCTGTGATTAAAGCTAAAAATATAGTGGTTGGTGTAATGGAGAGTGTTTTTTCAATGACACAAAAGACCAAGAAAGTTTCTAAGTTGAAACCGAATGTAAACCGAGTACAGAAAAATCCAAGAAATATATCAGTTGGCTCTACTTTAGAATGCCAGACATATAACACAACTTTAAATGATATTTTATTTGGTTTTGATGAAATTGATGATTTTACTGATGAATGTACTTCTTCTCTAAATTCTAGTAGCGAAACTTCTGCAGTTACTCCAGTTTCAGATGCATCAAATAATATTCTTGATTCTTCACCTTCATGGCAGCCAGATGAGAAAGAAATAAATGCTTTTCAGTTAGCTAATGACAAAAGTGGGCTGTCTTTTAGTGATGAAAAACAAAGTGTTAATGAGCATTCAGAAAAAGACAGAAAGAAGAGAAAACTTTTTGAATCTCCTCATAATTCAGATACATGGTCAGCATCTGAATGTGAAAATGAAAATGATAGACCCAGAAAGAAAAAATTGAATCCCAAAAAGAAAAGATCAAGTAAGTTAGTCAGCAACTTACAAAAAGTTACAAGAAATGATGTGAAAGCAAATATTTGTTCAGAGTCTGAAATGACAGTAGATAATATATCTGTTCATAAATCTTTAAATGACTCTTTAAAAATAAATCCTTCTGTCTCTCCCAAGAAATTGAAGCATGCAGAGAAATGCACAGTTAAAACTTCTGATAAGTCTCCTATTTCAACCAGCAGATTACAAGAATTACCATATGTATCTCCCATTTCAAATAATTCAGAATTGAGTGTAAGCCATAGTGAAAGTTCTGATAAAATAGTGAAAGGTGTTCTTAGTAGCCCATCTTTGCGAAACCGTAGAAATAATCATGATCGTGCGGACAGATCTTCAATTAAAAATAAGTCTATGGGTAGGGTGGGTAACGAATCATTTTCTGAAAGTGTACCTAATTTTAACAGAAAAATTTCTAAGAGATTGTCACGTTATAAAATTTCATCAGCAGAAAGTAAAAAAGGGGGAAAATTTATGAAATCAAACTTTAAATCTGGAATGAAAAATAAATGCAAACGCAAAACTTTAATAAGAAGTAAAAAAAAGCTTTCAAAACCTGATGACATTATACGGGAGATAAAAACTATAACAGGTGGTAATATTCCACGCAGTAAAAGTAAGAAGATCTCGTGTTCTTCTGCTTCTGAAAAAGAGTCAAATGATCCAGAATTGGATGCTCTGTCTGATGATTCAGAATCTGAAATTTGTTCATCAAAATTAAGGAATAATAGCCCTGGTCGAGCTAACTCTAGGAAAAAAGTTAGGACACTTAAGGTTTTGTTTAAACGTGCGAAACGGAAAAAATCTTCAAGTAATCAAAGCATGGATTTTAATCCGTTATCCATTTCTGTACTAGATAATGCAAATAGTTGTAATTCTATGTCAGAAAATAACAAAAGTCTTAATTCTACTTTCAGAGAGGGAGAAAGGGAGAAAATGGATACCTCATACAAAGCTGAGAGTAAAAGTGAAAATGATACTTTTGTCTGTGAAACAGAGCCCGAATATTTCATCAATGAGAATAATGAGCAGTGTGGTGATGCTACACATCAAGTTGCTAGCCCTGTAAAAAATTTTGTAAATACTGATATCTTAAAAGAGGATGGAACCGAATTTGTAGTCAGTACCGGTAACAGTGCTGATGATGAAGTTAATTCTAACAGCATTGAGGTGCAAGATATAAGGAACCTCTTGCTAAAAATTGTGGAAACAATTTCTTGTGAACCCATTTACACTTCAGACTTTGATAAGGAATCCATAAATTCTAATTTCAATAACAGTATTCCTGAACTTGAAGTAGATTCTAATAAGAATCTAGTTAATCTTCCTAGTGTAAATGAAAATATCAATTTAAATGTTGATGTTAAAGGTGAAAATTCAGTTAATTGTAACACAATAGATGCAACTAGTTCTATAATACAAAATTTAAACACTGAGCTTTATAAATCTACAATAAATGTTGCACATAGTAGGGAAAATTTGTTAGAAAATAGAAAGCCACGTATGGCTAACAGGAAATGCCCCAAAATTAAAATATCCATATCTAAAACTGTAATTGATACTGATGGTAGAGAAGAAAGTTGGTACATATCTGAAAGGAAGCCTTCAACTGATTCAGTACAGTCTGAGGTTTCCTCTGAAGAAGCTAAAGTAGAAAATGAAGCAGAAATAATTTGTGATAAATTAAATATTATGCCTGAAGCTTCTAGAATACCAGCTATTAGTGAAAAGGACATCTCTCAGTCTGTAACAAGAACTTGCAATGAATCATTAGAACATTTGATACAAGGTGCAAATAATAATAATTCTAATACTGATGTATCTTCTAATATTGTTGAATATCCAGATATGAACGAGGACATACCACATTTCTCTAATAAACTTTCAGAATGTGAAGTAACAGAACAACAGTGTCCTGATGGTCAACAACAGCTTGTGAGATCAGAGTGTTCTGTAAAAGCATTTGATTCTTTTGTAGCCAAAGATGAAGAATCTGTGGAATCTATAAACCCTAATGAAGTGCTAAATACTTCTGTAACTGAAAGTGGAGATTTAGCAAAACCTGAGTGTTCTATAGAAGCACTTGGTTCTTCTGTAATTGAAAGTGAAGTGTCAATGGAAGCTAAGTGTTCAGTGGAGGCAGCCAGTTCTGCAGTTGAAAGTGAAAAGCAAGTGAAACCTGAACATTCTGTGAAAATAGTCAGTTCTGATGTTGAAAATGAGGAACCAGTGAAATCTGAGTATTCTAAGGAAGAAATCAATTCTGCAGTTGAAAGTGAAGAGCCTACAAAATCTGAGTATTCTTTGGAAGTAGTAAGTTCTGAAGTTGAAAATGAAGATCCAGTCAAATCTGAAATTGTTGATACTTCTGAAGCTAAAAAAGAAGAGCCTGTGATAGAGTGTTCCGTTAAAAATCCCAGTGAGACTTCTACAAATTCAACGTTTAAATTCCATAAAGAGTTGTCAGTGACTCTTGAAGTAATGCATAACTTTGCAGCTGATATTAAGTCACCAAAAAGTATTAAAAGAAAGCGGAATTCTGTGCCATTACGAACATCAGGTAGGAGTAATGTTAAAGTCACAGCTTCTCCAGATTGCAGTGGAAAAGAGCAAACAAACACAGGTAATTTTTTTCTTATTATTTGTTTTCTTCATTTTATATGCCATCATTAACAGTGCCTTATAGGGGTCCTGGCAGTCACTCTGAAGGTTTTTCATAAATTATGCCTTAATGTAGTTTTAATTTTGCAACCAATTTATTTAAAAAGCTTTACACAAAACAAATATTAACAGTTATTAATATTATTAGGAAAATTAGCATGTGTTGTTTTAAAAAATACACAATATAATTAAAGAAGCTAAGCATTAAATATTTACTTTTGCGAAACTTTTTATAGTGAAATTTTTCAAGATATCTTAAAATCTTTTGAAGTATTTAAGCAAGGTTGATCATAATTCGGGTATATTTCCATTATGTGTCTGAAACATATTTTATCAGTTTTTTTTTTTTTTTTTTTCTTTTTTAAATTGTTTCTAGTTATAATAGAGTACTACTAGATATTCATGGCCTCTGTGATAAATTGCCGAATTATGTAAACTGTGTGATATTACAATAGTCTTTTTTCAGTTTAAACATTTATGTAAAAAATGGTATTTTCACTTTTGACTTCTATTTGCCAAATTTGATGAACAACGTATTATTGTACTCCTTTTTTCAATTTAAGCGTAAGCAAATGTTGACAATTTGTAATTTACTGATGAGTGAGATGCGTAGCATTTTTCCAGGGAAAAAAAAAGGATATTACCCTGCAGTCGGATATGTTTAAATGGTTACAAAATGAAATTATATGTAAAAGGAAGTATGTGAAGGTGTAACATGAAAAGTTGTTCCTTCAGACAGCTGGTTTAATGTTTCCAGAATACCATTCCTAACAGCACTACATTTTGTCTACTGTTGGGCAGAGAAACTAACATCATAAGTGGTGTGAACTCAACATGTGTCAAAAAACCGCTATTGACAGGAGCAATTTTATGAGAGAGGTTTGTTCCAGAATACCATTCCTAACAACAATACATTTTGTCTACTGTTGGGCAGAGAAACTAACATCATAAGTGGTGCGAAAACAGCTCAACATGTGTAAGAAACCACGATTGACTGGAACAATTTTATGAGAGAGGTTTGTTTGCTAGATTTACTTCGACAATGTAAAGGATGAATAGTCAAGCCTAGAAAAAAAAAATTGAAATTGACAAAAGTTTGTTCGTGGGGAGTGCTGTTTTGTTCAGGTTGGAAATCGGGAAGCAAGCACACGGATATCAACAATTTTGGACAATGTAGTAGAAGGATCGACAATATATTCAGATTTTTGGCGACCCTGTAAAACAGAAGGGCTTGAAAAACTTTAGTTTCAGCCATTTAACCCTGAATCACGAATTTAATTTTATTGATCAAATAATGGATGCTCACACCCAATATGTAGAAAGATTTTGGGGTTCTGTTAAATGGCGAAACAAAAAGCAAAGTAGTATGGCTCAACATTATATTGAGCTATAACTTTCGGGATTCATGTGGTGGAAATTCTCTGAGAAAGATAAACCTTTTAATGTCATATTAAAAGCAGTCGCAGAGATGTGGCAGCGACAAACTATATGTGAGTAGCTTCAAACTTGGTGATAATTTTGGTGCAGTTTTGATAACGGGGACTGTGAAAATCATGTAGTACCATTAATTTTTTCATCAACTTCATAGTATATGCAGTCCTCCACTTTCGCATGTAATAGGTTCCTGAAAATGTGTCCATATGCTGAATGTTTGAAAGTAGATGGATGTAAAAAAAAGAATTTTAAAGGTTAATTTATCAATGTACATAATTAAGTTAACGTGGCGTGTTTAAACGCTTTTGTGTATCTTTTTAATAAACTTGTCAACAGTTAGTTGAATATCACCCTTTCTTGCTTTTTTATGAAAAGGAGTTCTTATCGTGTGCTCAATCATTCTTCTTACTTGAGATACACATATTCATTGGCATCATATTCTTCCATGACAGTCAAATATTTCAAGGCTAGCAGCTATGTCATTGTGAATATTTAATTTTGTGATTATTAAATGAATTTTAGGAATATTAAATATATCACAATAAATAGTGCTGTGCTGTGTTTAAATGCGGGAAAGAATGGAAAGCTAAAATTATGCCGACACTAATAAGGCTGTCGCTTATAAATAACTATTAAAAATGACTGATGTACTTTGATACAGATTTTAGGCTCTCAAAAGAATGTAAGGAAAAGAAAGATTTACCAAAATGAATGCATTAAGCACATTTATTTTGCACAGACACATATGCACACACATAAAAAAAAAAGGCTTTAAATTTGAAACTATATTGTTTGAAGCATGTATTAGGTACTGTAATGGAATATGGAATGATCCTTTGTACGAAATCATCCCATTATGACTAGTTCAACAGAACTATTTTCTACAAACTTTTATTTCAGTGACCTGGTTATTAAAATTGAATTTTAGTATTATGTAAGGCAATTTATTGCTGCATGGAAGCTAATTTCATCACTAGGCAGCAAATTGATTTTTAATATTTGAATCCTGTTTTGCAGCCCTTGCCACATTTATCTTCCTTGTATTTTCTCTTTATTAATTTGAATTATGGAAAATAAATTTGTAGGATTCCCCCTCCCCTTTTTGCTGTTGAATTCTTAATGAAATGCATTCATTCTTTCTTTTGGATGCATTGTGTTGCATTTGTTCTATAAAAAATTGTACCTAAGAAAATTTCATTGAATCGCATAAGCACTTTTGTTCTTTGGCTTCTTGCCGTTCTGTTTGGCAACTAGAAGATTATTTTTAAAAATAGTTGTGAGGTTTATTTCTACAGAATTAATTGAGGTACTGTTTGACAGTCTCCAAAGAAGTGAACTTCAAGCCATTCCAAATATTTCGAAGTAACGAAGAGATGAAAGTCTAATGGGGCAAGGTCTGGTGAATATGAGGGAGTGATACGAAAAATCTCAGCTATGCTCAAATGTCTGACATTCGTAGAAATACACTGCTCAACATTGAAAATGCAACACCAAGAAGGAGTGGTCAGAATTTATGCAAATTTTAGAGTAGACGCACATCACTGAGTTATGCGAATGAAGTGAAATGCGCAGCTCTCCGATGCACGTGAAGTAAGATATAAGGGAAGGAACGTGCAGAATGGGTAATATTTGTGTTGTTATTTCTGCCTGCCAGACAAATTATCGAAGAAAGTTGGTTTTTGTCCCCGGAGGATACGTGTAATAGGAGAAAATGCCAGGCTTCTGTCAACGAAGGCACTTCCGGCAGATAGACGATTTTATGAGGGGTATGGTGATCGGACTGAGAAGGGCGGGTTGGTTCTTATGTCAAATCGCAGCTGATACCCACATAGATGTGAGCACGGTGCATCGTGGTTGGAACAGGAAATGTTTGAAGAAGGAGGGGTGCAAGTGCAGCCAGAGTGACGTCAGCACGTGTGGAACGACGCATCCGTTGACAAGCTGTGGCGGTCGCGCAAGTCTCTTGTAGCGCGATTCTGCAGCATGTTTCCTTGTCGACCAGAACCATTTCCCGTCGATTGGTTTAATGTGGCCTGCACTCATGGCATCCGTTAAGAAGATTGCCATTGACCCCACAGCACAGATGCCAATGTTTAGAATGGTGCCGGACTGGAGCGATGTGGATGATAGAATGGCGAAACGTCGTGTTCTCAGATGAGTCACGCTTCTGTTTATCCAGTGATAGTCACCGCATACATGTGTGGCGTCGACGTCGAGACATCTAATTCGGCAGTAACTGTGGAATGCCCCACCGTGCCACAACGTGGCATAATGGTTTGGGGCGCTATTGCATACGATTCCAGGTCATCTCTAGTTCATATTCAGAGCACTATGAGGGCCTAACGATACTTGGATAATGTACTGTAGCCGAGGGAAATCCCCTACCTTCAGGGGCTGCCTAATGCAATTTTTTTCAGCAGGATAACGCCCAACCACACAGTGCCAACATGCTCTGCAAGGTATACAAATGCTTCCCTGGCCACCGCACTTCTCCTGACCTGTCACTAATCGAACATGTGTGGAAAGTGATTGGACGCCGTTTGCAGACTCTGCCCCTGCCTCGTTCAGAAGACGAACTGTGGCAAACAGTTGAAAGGGAATGGAGAGCCATCCCTCGGGACACCATCCACACTCTTGTTGACTCTATGCCTAGACGTGTTTCTTCATGCATCGCTGTCCGCGGTGGTCCTACATCCTACTGAGCCGATGCCGTTCCCGCTCTGTATTCTGTCATTTTGAAATAAAGATCACTTATTGCTGCTTGCTGTCTCTGTCTTTTTTCCAAATTTCATCACTTTCTCACCACTCCTTCTTGGTGTTGCATTTTCAGTGTTGAGCAGTGTATGAAACCAAGCATTGTTATGCTGCATGTTATGAAATAACACTTCAGCGATTGGTTAGTTATGGATATTTCTGTTGTTGCTTTTACAGATGCTGTTTGGGAACTTTTTTTTTTTCAAATTTATTTTCCGATTTGTGGCAACGTTCCATAATTTACAATTTCATTGTATTCTAACCGTGCACAAAGCATTACTTTATTGGGATGCAGCCTCCTTAGTATTACTAAAGGAGGTTTGTGTGACTTTTCCCATTATCTTCGTCTTGAAACATCATTGTATGGTATCCACTTCTCATCTCTAATAAAGAGCCGTTTCTAAAAATGAGCTTCTTTATTTTGTTACAGCAAAAAATCGCATATAAAAATTTGAGTAAGAGCAAGCACATTTTGCTCTGTTAAAGTAGCAGCTTACATATCCAGTCTTTTTCAGATGATTGTGTACTATAATTTTCAGAGTATTTAGTCTGTCTGATAGTTCCTGTACTATTACAGTGTGAATTTTCAGAGATAAGTATCTCTTTTAATAGGTACTTATTTAGAGAGGATTTTTATCCATAGCAGGCATAATTTTTTAGGCTGTAATTTCTGCATTTAAAATTTTTTTCCCTCAAACTATGTCACCAGAAACAGGAATTTGATCACGTATGGTGTGAATTTTCAGAGCTGTCTGATTAGACTTTTTTCTTCTT